AGCCTAATACTAGCAGACATGCCAAATGACACGCATTGTTTTCAGCATGAATTCAAGTTGACTTTAGTGCGTCAGCTTGAACCCATACAACCATGTAGTGGAACAGGAATATGCATGGCGACTGAAATCCCAAACTATGAACCAATAAATGACGCTCTTGATCACTAGATTTCCTACTTGAGCACTGTGCCATTGAAGCTTTGAGTAAGGAATTTTTTTTTTTTTTGAATACGTCGAAGCCTCCATCAGTCATCACTATCCCTAGCTCCTAATGGTTTAGGGAAATTTCCCCACAAACTTAGTGCCAATTAAGGCCAGCACTGACCTAAATTTCACAGTTTACAACATGTGCAGATATTTCACTGCAGCCATGATCATATTTAGCATTGAGGGGGCAGTCATCACATTCAAGGATGTAACAAAACTGCTTCTTTGGCAATATGTACTTTCAACTACTTTACTGCTTCTCAACAAGTGATGATAAAGTAGTAATTAAAGACATATTGCTGCTCAAAATAGTGTTTATTAAATTGAAAAGAAACCGCCATCACTAGCAGGTGTGAGACGTCCCCACAGGACTCTGCCACAAACATAATTTTTTCTGGGTCCAGGGCATGTCATTGGCAAAACCTAAAAGGCAAACAATTAGAGCTGCCATTGATTTTCAATATTAATCCAAAGACCAGCTTGAAATGTTTGGCCAGTGACATGTCAGAAAATGCCCATTGCAAATCCATCCATCACTTACCTACACAACAGCCTGGTGTGAAAGGGGGCAGGGTATATGATGTATTGACAGGATACATTCTGAGCCACCACAGTTCTAGGAGGTACCAACTGTCAGATGGTCTTGCCTCTCCCTGTGAACAAAGACAAAAATATTAGCACTAAACTCAACCTAGACTTTGAATTCAGTGTTCATTATTCACTACCTTACAGTATATTGCATCATGTTATGAAAAGTTGTTCAGCTCTAATGGATCATGTTACAAGACCAGTTGATTAAAGTTCAGTACAACAGTCCTTATTACTTACAACGTCCTGAGCCCATAGTCCACTGGCCAAAGAGAGGAGCAACATGAAATACAGACCCAAGGCCATCTGTGTGAAAATATTAGACAAGCAAATGCACAAAGAAATGCTTTTACATGCAATTCAGTTCCAAGTTATTTCAGTTTCAACAAAGGTCTGCAGCAGTGGATTAACATACATTTTTAATGTGCATATAACAGTAAGCATTTGTAGTGGTCAACTGTTCACCTGGATTGAAAATCAGAAATGGGTATTGTTTTATCAATGCTATTGGGACAATTGGCAAAATAAACGCTTTTACAACAATGTGGCTGTAAGAAACAGAGATGCATCAAAACAGCTTGTGTAAGGAAAGGCAAGAGTTACAACCTTACCTTGATGTGATTTCATTCACAGCTGTAGCAGAAGTCAAAACACTATATTTACCCTCTGTAGGAAACTTGACTCACCTTGAAACAGATTTATCAGTCAAGATACAGTAGCTTTATTATGAGGAAAGACAAGGTATTCTTTAAAACAATGTTAAAACCTTTTAAAGGAGCAGCTCAACACAAGCTGCAGAAGCTTGAACAAAGCTAATTTCTTCAAAAAGGAATCATTTGACTGGAGTGACCCAATAAAACTAAGTAGATACGTAACACAACTAACAAACAATAAAAACAAGCAAAGTCACAAACCAATAACAGGAGGAAGCCTAACCTGATTTCAAAATCAAGGATGAAGCACAAGAGGTATCAAACCAACAAACCCAACTCTGTGAGGTGAGGATGATTATAAGGACTGAACCAGGGAAGTAAACGAGCAACAGGTGAAAACAGTGAAGGCAATTGATGACAGTGTAAAGATGGGGCAGGGGAGAGGGCAAGAAAGAGGAAATGGCCACAAAATAAAAGCATACAACAGGAAGACAACCCAAACCCATGACAGTTGCACCTGTTTATATTTGGATAAATACAAATATTTCCTGAATGCTGATTTGCTTGTGCAATATACCATTCTGCTGTATTGACATTGCCTTTTACGGAGGTGAGGTGATTATAAGGATTGAATCAGGGAAGTAAACGAGCAACAGGTGAAAACAATGAAGGCAATCGATGACAGTGCAAAGCTGAGGCAGGGAGCGGGCAAGAAAGAGGAAATGGCCACAAAATAAAAGCATACAACAGGAAGACAACCCAAACCCATGACAGTTGCACCTGTTTATATTTGGATAAATACAAATATTTCCTGAATGCTGATTTGCTTGTGCAATATACCATTCTGCTGTATTGACATTGCCTTTTACCTTTCTCTCAAGGGCTCTTCCTGGTTCTAATTGCAGAAACAGAAAATACCTGTTTTGTTACATAGAAACTATTGGGGCTTTGATTTAAAAACGTTCTTCACTACAAACAAAAATTATGTAGAGGAGTTGGTCTATTTAACCTCAGTTAACCAGTAGCTTTATGTAGTCAAAACAATAAACATGTCTTCCATTTCTCGTTGTAAACATTTTCCAAATGGCCACAACTGACTGATAAATCATGTCATCTTAAATTATATAGAACAACACATGAAAATAAAACATGCCCCCGTGGTTTATTAAATAAACATTTAAATTGGGATGATTTGTCTGAATTAATTAATCATTCTGAATTAGTCTGCATCACATTCAAGCCACGACAGATTCCTTTTCACTTTCACAGTGTCTTGATCATCAATTTGTCTTTAATTGCAACTATATCGAATGTTTCTCTCATTTTGAAATGCAATAAAACAGTCAAGTATACTGACAGGTGTGTTTTTTTTTTATTTTGTCGTTTTGAGTGGCATGGTCTAACTGTAAAACTTGTAAATTATCATTGTTGGTGAAGATGTGTTGGATCCAACCTGTGCTTGTGCATGCAATGAACATCTACATGTCTTCTGAAAGGTAGCCTGAATCTCATGTGTCTTTGTCTTCAACCTTAAGTGCCTGTAGAAGCAGTTGCCAGGTGTGGTGTCCCTGGCAGTCGTGAGAGCTGTAGTATCAGAATCGGCTTTATTGGCCAGGTGTCGAACACATGAGGAATTTGACTCTGGTACGTCGGCTCTCAATGTGTAGATGCATGTCAACAAAGAAGGGAATGTGCATTAGGAAAGTGATGATAAAAAGAGTAGAGTACTTGAGGTGTATATATATATATATATATATATACACACACAGTCTGGGTTCAGCCATCTATATGTACAGTGTATATTTACATTCAGGTTGATGTATGTGCATAAGGACTTTGTGGGCACAAAAGCTGATGTAAGGTGTCAGAGTTCATCCAGGTCTGTAGTTGCAGCCTTAATATTAATAGCAGCACCTGTTTCATGTTGTGGTAAATCACAATGCCTTTGCCTGTGAAACACAATAGTGAAAGTGTTGTTCCCTACTAAGACCTTTTGTCAGGTGATTTTTAAGTTCAAACCAGGAAATAGATTAAATGCTGGTAGCAAGATTACAAACTGAAAACGTACTTAAAATTTAGGATTTCTGATATCTTCAATTCTTGACTAACCCTACAACCATTGTTGGTCTTCATTTACAATCTCAGTACTAGGCAAATAGCATTTATAAATTGTAAATGCTTTTTCTGCAGCAATAGCTGCCTGAAATTGTGGGCCCCCAACAATGTAAATGTCTTCTGTTTCCTCAAATGATTTGTATTGCTTTTATAAATTTAAGTGCTGTACCAAAACTGCACAATTGAAGTAATGATGACAAGACTACTCCACAAACTGGGGGCAGCTATGGCAAAAACCCAGTCACCATAGTTTTTCAGCCTAGATCTAGGAACCTTTAGGAGAATCTGATTAGAAGACCAGAGAGATCAACCATGCAAATGGGTTGAGTGCAATGATAAAACAAAGTAAAATCTTAAGTGATCCTGCACCGCACAGGAACCCAATGAAGAGAGTGTAGAACTGGGGTTACGTGCTGACATTTCTGTGTATTGACCAGAAAGCGGGCAGCTGCACTGTGAATTAGCTGTATGTTGGGACATCCCAACATACAGAGCATTACAATAATCAAGTCTAGAAGTAACAAATGCATGAACTGCCTTTTCAAGGTTGTTGAAAATGCTTAGCCTTCGCTAATAAAAGAAAAGCTTGCTTTTACCAATAAAGTTACATGTGAGTCCACCGTAAGATCTTTATCAAGGACCACCCCCAAGTCTTTCACTTGCAGCTTCAAGGTCACTATTATGCTCGCCCAGAGTACATTTTGTTTTTTCTTTATTAATGTGTGAAAAATGTAAAGAGTCATGATTTGATATCACACATGCAGTCAAGTAATCTCAGTGAAGAGCTCTTCTTTCCAGTCAGTGGCAGAAATATTTGAATATCATCAGCATAGCAATGTAAAGGCAGCCCATATTTCTTGAAAATAGAACCCAGTGGAAGTAAATGCAAAGAAAACTTAACCGGACCAAGTATAGAGCCTTGGGGAACCCCGCAGGTTAAGGGAGCGACAGATGAATACTCTTCAATACAAACTGAGAAACTTCTGACAGGTATGAGTTGAACCATTTTAAAGCATTACCTCAAATACCTGCATAGGCTTTAAGACGAGAGTACAGTAACATGATTGATTGTATCAAATGCAGCTGACAGATCTGAAAGCACCAACAGAGAGGCATAGCCATCATTAACAGCAGTAAGAAGATTAACAACTCTTAAGTGCTGACTCAGTGATATAACGTGATTGAAATCTACACTGAAACTTTTCAAAAATTTCATTTTCTTCAAGAAAAGATTGCAGTTGCAAGAATACAACCTTCTCCAAAACTTTAGAGACAAATGGCAGTTTAGAAATTGGTCTGAAATTAGGTAATACTGTACTATCTAAATTGAGTTTCTTCAGAAGCTGTTGGACAGGGTGCACAGTCCACGCCTTTGGCTTGGAAATAAGAGACGTTGTTCCAACGCTTAGCCTTCTCCGGCGTGTTTATTTCGTCACAAACATATGGCATAACATGGGGCTCTGAACTGGCATCAGTCAATAGAAAAATAATAATGAGCTCTCTTCTATGCTCCTTCTTTCACAAAGTGATCCTCACACTCTCTTACTCTCTTACATACCCCGGAAGTATGTACAATAATGTCCTTCAAAATAAAAGTATGTTTCATACAATGAGTAAAGGCGTATTCAAGAACTAACATCTTAACAGAAGCAATTAATAATAATAATAATAATAATAATAATAGTAGTAGTAGTAGAAAAAGAGGTATTAGCCAAGGGATTGAATTTTGCGGTCACACCCAAACAAATCCCTGTGGTAGACTTCATCACAGCCACAGAGACAGCCA